GAAACAAAAAGCATATTTATAGCCTTGCTCGTAAAATCTATTTATTACTCCATTTTTAATCACACATTTCTTCCAGTAGCTCACGGCAACACTTGTGCTTCCTTCTCACCTCCATTTTACTTTCCAAATTACAATGTAAAGTATGAAAAGTGAAAGATGATGCTCATACCAATGAAATATTCAATAACTTTCTTGGCTGAATGGAGTTGGATTGTTCATTCTTAGCCCAATCTTTGCAAACTTGATACTTGATACTGATGTGCCTGGGCAACACTACCAACGCTCCTTGGAAGAAATGCTGCAAGTCACTTCCTCTTGATAGTTTCTTTTGTGCAAGATCAAGGCTGCTAAAACTTGCAGGACCGAAAGATTTCAGGTGGAGCCTGTCTTGAAGGAGACTATCTGATCACTAGGTGTGAAAACATTGCTCCCTTGGGGTTGTAGGACTGCTGCTTAGGGAGCATGCCCTGTTTGTCAACACAGCAACAAGGGAGATGCTGCCATAGATTTCTGGTCTGATTAAATTAATAGCTTAGTATTGATGAAATGAGTCATGGAAATCAAATGATGAAAAGGAAAATGGCCTGCATGCAAATACTGGAGTAATAACTAACAGGAGCAGGTATAATGGTACGTTATAAGCTGGCTGTTACAGGGGGGAAAATTAATCAATAGTTGCAAACAAAGCCAGTTGGATTCATTTCAACTTGGACACCAATATTGAGACAGTCAACAGGGAAGTATATTTATATGGATTATTTTCAACTTGAAGATTTCCATGACATACAGATGTGTGCAGAAGTGAGGGCCACAATCTGTTTGCTTGACCTAAACCTTTCCTGGCTGGTTAAATTGACTACGTCAGACTGGTCCTGTGATTATAAGAGGTGATTAATGCCTTCTTGACTGATGGATGTTTCTCGATTGCTTAAAGGAAAAGTCATATGAGCCTTATTGAAGAAAAAAAAAAAAAGCTCCCAGAACATGAACGAACCTTGTAATTAAAGGGAGTATTTAATCTTCTAAGACTAGGAAGGTGATTGAAGAAGCAGCCTTGTACCTGCAGATTTAGGCCCACTTTAATTGGGGATTCACCCAGGATGTAGGACTGAGATTACATTAGTTGTCTTGGTAGTGAACCTGCTAGTTTCGCTGGACCTCTTGGCACATACAAATAATACATTTTATAATTTAAATTTTAATCGCTGTAAGCTGTTTCATAAACAGGAAAACATGGAACATAAATGAAGTCTAGACTATCTATCCCACTTTCAGACTTTCAGAGTAGTCCAGCCAAGAAGCACACCTGGAAGTGCTGTCTCTAATTTTATCGGAAAGGTGCATGAACTGTATCTTTCAAGTGTGAAAAATACATTCATCCCCCATTGCCTTTACAGCCCAAGGGACTAGGGGGCATCCCTTCTGAAATGTTTGTACATCCCCATTTCTTCTACAGCAGGGGTGTCAAACTTGATTTCATAGAGGGCCGCATCAGGGTTGTGTTTGACCTTGGGGTGGGTGGGTGGGAAGGATGTGGCTGGGATGAGCGGGGCCAGTTCGACGTCACTCGTATTGGTGCCTGTGGTGGCTCGAGCGCTCTGTCAGCGAAAATGGGCTCCTGAGCTCCGCTTTCAGCTGCAACGGCTTCCTGGAACCCTCTGCCAGTGAAAACAGAGATTGGGAGGGCCACATGCGTTTTCACTGGCAGAGGGTTGCAGGAGGCTGTCGAAGCTGGAAATGGAGCTCAGGAGCCCATTTTTGCTGGCAGAGCACTCAGGCCACCACAGGCACCGATACGAGTGACATCGAGCTGGCCACGCTCATTCCAGCCACATCCTCCCCCCCCCCCCGAGGTCAAACAAACACTGTGGGCCGGTCCTTCCCTGTTTCCAGGGCGGTCCCGTGGGCCAGATCTAAGCACCCCATGGACCGGGTCTGACTCGCGGGCCTTGAGTTTGACACCCCTGTTCTACAGTCTAAGCTGCCACTTAACTGACCATTGTGCTGTCTGCAACTATTCCCGTATCTCCCATTTCTACATACCATAACATTAAACACAATCAAATCCACACACTACTAGTGGAATTGATTTCACTATATTTGAAAGGCACCATGTCGGGGAAGGTGGCAACAGCATTGTTCTCCAATGATACTATAATCTGCCTTCAAGTATAATGATAGCAAACTGGGGAAATGAAGCGACAATGGTAGTTAGATACAGAAACATTAAACAGAGTTTTGGACATGTGAAATAGTAATATCTTTGAAAGCAGTTTTGCCTTTTGGAACAGTCAGATTGCTCACTGAATTATAAGCCCTATCTTTATGGCTTTATTGTAATTGAATAAGAGGAGCAGGTGCTTTCTTCGTAAGAATCTTTCTGAGAACTGTTTTCAGGCTTGTATAGTTGCATTAGTTGGCAATAATATATTGTTGATTTAGTACCTGAGTTAGAATTACCTTGCCAGAAAGAAATAGACATGACTTACTGGGTGAAAAATAATAATGAAATAAGCTTCTTTCTTCCCTTCCCATTTTGTCAATGCTTTCTAAAGCAGCCTTTTAAAAGAAGAGTGGATTGGAGTGGAATAATTTAGGAATTTTAGGATATTGATGAAACAAGTGGAGACAAGGGCTTTTGTTGTAGCTGACAGATCTAGTGATTGGCCTGCCTGGTAAATCCAGTTTTATTGCTATATTTAAAGCCATTCTTTTATTGCTGTGTGATACTGAATTTACAGTTTATTCTTCCTCTCTGTTGAATAAGACTGCAATATCTTTCTGAAAATGTGAATAGAAGCTAAATAACTTTTAACAGTCTTTGCCTGCCTAGAATTTCCTTGGGTTTCCAGGATCTTCTAGGATAACCTTGCCCAGTCTACTTACTTCCTGAAGGCAGAGACTTCAAATCCCATAATAACCCTAAAATTGGCATGTCAGTTTCCGATCTAAATACTAGTTAAGAGATGCTTTTAGACCGACATCATCTACAGGTATAGGTAGCTAGATCTTTTTGGTTAACTGGAGCTTAGAATAACTGGATTCTCTATGTTAAATATTGGTGTGAAAATTCTCATAACTAATAGGTTAAAAATTGCAAGAGAGGAGAACTAAATCCATAATTTTGTTTCCATTTTTTAACTGATTAAAAGAGAGTTGATTCATTACATCTGCAGCACTCTAAGGAGTATTATTTTCACTTCATATAGTTCTGTATGTGAGTTGTTTGTTATGTTTAGTGCCTCTTCCACAGTTGTGCCTTTGATATTAAAGTGCCATATATCCATCATTTTGCTATCAAATCCTGCAGCTCTATAAGAGATATTGCAGTGGAATAGATAAAATGAATTTTGAATTCAATCAAGCTTTATCGCTGCGACTTTTAATTTTAGCAAGCACATTAAATAACTGAATTATTGGGTAACTGTACTCCTGTTTCAAAAAGTGTTAAATTTCCCACACTAGCAACTATGAAGGTTACTTTTTTTTTTAATGGTTATGTAGCATGTAGTTTACATTTTTTACTGAACAGAACTAATGCTTAAAACCATAATGATAGTATATTACTGTACAGATAGTCCTCAACTTATGACCACAATTGAGGCCGGAATTTCCAAAGCTAGAGAAGGTGGGTTATTTAGTGAGATATGACTGATTTTAGGGCTGCTGATTTCCAATATCCCTTTTAGCTGAAATACATAACTTTTCAGTTTCTGAATTTCATTCCGTCAGAGATTGAACAGGAGGCCTTCTGCACAACCATGTTCATAAGATCTCATGATAATGACTGGGAATCATCAAAATATTTTATTGTAGTCATCTGGAGTAAGTCGTGTATGACTCATGAAAAAAAATGCAAAAGACAGTGAGGTACTGCAGATGTCTCTGATCAGTCTTTTGGGTGATACTGAAAAATGTAAGGACTGATAATAAGTCTTCATTTAAGGTCTGCAGCTAGCAGAAGAATGAATGAGAATTTCCTATGTGGGCCAGTAATTGTACCTAAAAAAATACTTTTTCCCTTGTTTTCCAAATAAAAATTACTGAATAGTGTTGCAGAAACATAAAACAGTATGGTTAGAATTATACACTTGAGTTACCAGCCAAATGAAAGGGCATGCTGATAGCAGCAGGTAATTCAGTTTTATAGAAGTGATTTTCCAGTGTTTTATTGCAACCTGGATATCGTGAAACCACAAGCAAAACCTTTACTATTTTTTTTTTGTTGATGCTTCTTTTATTGTGTATTGTAGCTTCTCTTAGTAGCTCAAGATTATTTCCAAGGACAGACAAATACTTTCAATTTTAAGAAATAATAAAAAAGAATGAAGGTTATTTTGAAAGTCGAGTGAATTGGGCAGAGATGCCACCAAAAATGTGAATATGCACTTAATATAAGCACAACCAGAATATTAAAAATACATATACAATGGTAACCTATTTGTACATAAAAATTAATCATAAGAACTTAGTGATACTGAAGAAGGAAGGTTGTGGTTTTTTTCCAGGCTGTGAATTATATTTGGTTTTTGAACAATGTGCTGGGGGTTATACTTCAAAAATTATTTACAACAAAAATGAAACAAGATAGTTCTCATTAAATGATGGTAATTGGGACCAAAATTTCCATCACTAAGCAATACAGTGGAAAAGCACAACATCATACGGCCACACTGCTTATTGATGGCATTTCTGGCAATTCCTGGTTATGTTGTTAAGGAAAACACAGGTTGTTAATTGAGGACCTCTGTAATGGCAACTCTGACTTTCTGCTGGCTTTCCTCTTTGACTTTGCTTGTGGGAAACCGGCAGGGAAGGTAGCAAACTAGGATGAAACCGTAATGAAAACAGATATCTTGATTTTCAGTGTCATAATATCAAGGAGGACCTTATAAGCTACTGTACTTTGAAAAGTAATTAGCTTAAACTGTGCATCTGTTTCGGTTGAGTCTTCTTTTATTCTGTGACTTGAACAAGTTTGTTTCCCCTTTTTTCCTTAGTGTTTTGTTTCTTACCTGCGATCTGTCTACCTAATGAAGAACAAAGAAGTATTTGATGTGTTAAAGTTACCTATTGCTGAATATGCCCTGTAAGTACTATTGATCTTTAGTAATTGTATATGCCATACAAAAACTGTACATCCTTTTTTTAATAGACTTTTTTTTGAACTTGAAATTTTAATCAGTGAGCCAAACCAACATTAACTCACTGATTAAAACTAACAATGAAAATCAGTTTGTTAAAAATGGAGATTAGTCAAATAGAGCTAATGGAAATGAGGAGAAAAATCAATAAATGAATCCTTAATCATTTTGTGCTGCCTGTTAAAACCCAATAACATTTTTAATTTTTTGAAGGTATCTTAGAAATCCTTATTAGTTAGTCCTCAATTTGTGGGTGAGTTCCTTCTGTTCATGTCTAAGGTTTTAGATTTGGTCCTGGTATGTTCTTTGAAAACCCTTCCCTAAAGTTTTAAGAGCTACTGACATTTAGTGATGATAATCCTGCAGTATTTTATTTATTTGCTTTTTACCTTGCCATCATTTGTGATCAGCTCAAAGTGACACAGATCCACACTATATAATTCCATTCATTTACAGCTTTTGTCCTTCCTAATTTGTTCTTATTTTCTAAGATCCCTCTCTGATACTTCTCTTGCACCATCCCTCTCTGACTTCTCTTGCACCCTCCCCCCAAAAGCCACCTCCTTCCAAAAAAAAACAAACATAAATTGACACCAGGATCAATAGCAAATTTGCAATTCTTGTGTGTCTACCAGCTGTCTACTTACAAATAGTCCTCCATGTTTTATGATCAGTGATTTTACAAACATTGGAAGTTAAGACAGCCATGGAATGGATGCTTTAAAGAATGCTCTCCCTTCCATCTCACTTTGGGCTCACAACCGTGGAGCTGCTTAATGCCGTGAAAGCCCTTCCCCCATTTTTAATTAACTTTTGATGTCAACCTCAACTATCTTTGTCTGTATTTTAAATTTTATATTTAGTTTTTATGTTTTCAGCATTTATTTGTGCACTTCCCAGAATCCCCCTGTGAGGGTGATGGGTGGTTCCTAAATGCAATAGGTAGATTAGATACCATGTTTCCCTGAAAATTAAGACCTAACTGGAAAATAAGTTCTAGCATGATTTTTCAGGATGCTCGAAATATAAGCCTTACCCCCAAAATAAGCCCCAGTTAAGATTGTCAGCCAGACAGATGCATTTAGTACCATATATCCCCAAAATTAGGCCTAACTGGAAAATAAGCCCTAATGTATCTTTTGTAGCAAAATTTAATATAAGACCTGGTCTTATTTTCAGGGAAACATGGTCGATTGATGGATGGACAGACAGACAGATCAATTGATCTATATTTCCTATCCTTTTTGGGGGGATAATAGGAGTATAACATATGAGACGATCTCCTCTGATTCTACCCATAGAAATACAGCCTTGTAAACAGGTGGAAAAGAAAGAGAGAGACTGGCCCAGACTGGTGTACATTCATAATAATGAATGAAGTTTTGAATCTGGGTTTGACCAATCACGTATAATCAGTACACCAATAACTAATGTCTCTTGTCTAAGAAAAGAAATCTCATTAGATCTCAACATTAGGTTTTTCTGGAAGTATTTCAGATTCCCCCTCTGGGTATGTCAAACCTTAGGTGGCTTTTGCTGTTCAGATGGGCTTGACATTTGAGAACATTAAAAAGTTCCTCTGTGCTGAGTCAGATCAATTATCCTTGTAGTCCAAAACTCTCAACTACCAGTGTTTTTCAGTGTATAGGCTTGTTTGGGAGTTGTTTTCAATGTATGGGCTTGTGTAGAAGAATTGGGAAGAACTGAAACTGTGATAATATAATAGTACAGTAGTAGTAGTTTCTGGGGAAAAAATCAAATTATACTTCTGTCAGTAGTAATAGTTGGTTTGAGCCATATTGTTAATGACAGAGTGATTTGTTGCCCACTTGATTAAGGCCTGAGAGATTGAAGGTTTGAATCTGCACTGATTTTCAGTGGCTCATTGAAAGAGACACCTGTCCTTATCCGATTTAGAGATATCAGATAATTGAACACTGGGCTTTCTGCATGTTCCTTTGATCAGTATCCCACCCCTCTGTTAAGAATTTTCAACATAATAGATGTCAGACAAGGTCACATTATATTATGTTCACTTCAAAGAAAACTGCTGTGGGATTCTGCCAGCCCTGTGCATTTCTTATGCCAAAGATTAATAAGCCTGGCTATTTAATTATGAGTGAAATGTTCCTTTGCTTTTCATTGTTACATCATTGTCAGGTGTATGGTGCTTGCATTGCCCATATGCTGTTTTAATTCTTTCCACCATTATTTTCTAGGGTTGGTTTCTCAGGGATGCTGAGAGTACAAATCCTTTGATTTACATACATCTTAATTAGGGATGGGTTAAAGACCAGGGCATCTCTAGACCCTCCACTCTAGAGGAATAAAAGGATATGAAAATGATTCCAAGCTCATCTCCCTTGGCTTAATTTGCTAAAAAGTATTGAATTTGGTCATCTATGTCTTCTCTTTATTTTTTCCTCCCCCAAAATATATTGTGTGGACAATATATTAAAGTACAGATCTATAATAATTAGTTTGAAAGTGACCTGTAAGGTCCCTTTTTTTCTTTTTCTTTGACTTGTGGTATTCTTACTGATTTCAATCTCATTCATACCAAACAAAATTCTAAATGCAGTTCTAAAAGGCTGTACAATTTGTGGCTATTTATGTAATCCTTTGTCTAGAGGAAGGAAGGAAGTCTTTTTAAATGGCCATTGAATCTAATATTCAATAAGGGTAGAATGAAAAAAGATTTAGTTTGACTTTTTCCTCTTAAAAGCAGGTTCAGCTATATTCTGTAGCATAATATAAAAAACTTCTGAATACACATATACCCCCAGTGTATGATTGTGAAGTTTTAATAAAATGCTTCATGGGATACTTGTTTGTAGGGCAACATTTATTAGTCTCTACTTCTAGTATACAGTAGATAACTTTATGCATTGAATGCATGTCTAGCTTTGAAAGATGACTTCTTTCTTATAAAGGTTTCCATATCATTCTTTAAAGTTTTCTTTTGTATACTCTTGTCTTCAGAAATCAGGTGGGTAGCAGAGAGAGAGAGAGAGAGAGAGAGAGAGAGAAACCAAACTTTAGAAGACTTTTCCAGAAAGAATGATCTCATGTCATGTCAGTTCTTTTGTCTCTTTGGCAAGTTGGGAAGACTTTTTCATTTCTAGCTTTTACTTTGATTTAAACCCTGCAAGATTTTGGAGTTTCACCAAATCTTCCTACCAAATTACAGCAGCATTGACACAATGAATAATTAAATATGGGAAGAAAATTCCTGTTTAATTAATTGTTACAATTATCTACATGTTCAGCCCTTCCTTCCATTTGTCCTCATCTCTTTGGAGTACAACCCATGCAAATCACTTCAAAAAAGTTACACATCCTTCTTATAAAAAGACTCCTATTTTTCATATTTGAGGGTGGTTTGTTTGATTGCATTTACTTTAATTATATTTCAGCTGTGTCAGCCATTCTGGAAGCAGCATTGCCAAAAAGCTGGACTAATGATAAATAAAGAATTACATATTGGAAAACCATCTACCAGATAACGATAATGGAAAATTAAGGATTGAAGAAACACATAAGAAGTAGCTTGCAAAGGATTCAGATGTTTAGTTGGCCAGAATTAATTTTGTTTGCCAGATGTGTGAAAAGTCCTACTATTAAGATAATGCTCTTAATAATCTTACTGTGGTTTTTTTTTTTGGTTTTTAAAGCATCGTATAAACTCAGAAATTATATTTTGTGCGCCATCTTTTGTGCCTTATTGAGTGTAAGTCATCCATAAGTTATAAGTTATTAATCTGTGTGTTGTGCCTGGCCTGCACAAATGTTAAGAATTGCTTCCAGCCAGTAGAAGTTTGCTGTCTTAAAAATAACGCCATGCAAAACAGATTTTGATGAACTTTATTGGGTAGCCTTTAATATTAGAGCAGAGGTCCTGTTCTGATATTTGATACTTTTCTATTTTGTAGCTCTCTTGGGCTTGCAGTGGCCCCTCGTGTACGATTTCTCCAGAAAGTCCAGAAGAAACTGCATACAGCGGAGCTTGAAAAAGGGGGGAAGGAGCAGGCTGAGGACACAAAGTTTTCTTTAAGTGATGAGGAGTTAGAAAAATGCAGGAGAATTTTCTCTAGAACAGGCATGTTGGGACAAAAAGAGCCAGAAGGCCTCTCTGGGAAAAGCAGTCCTGTTGAAGAAGCATTGCAGAGTCCGTCTGAGCCAGAAGAGCCTGTGATAGTCCATGAATCAAAGCCTGAAAGTCTGAATTTTTTCGAAGATGATGATGATGATGGAGATGACGATGACAATGCCTTTAAGGACGTGCTGACTGTAAAACGGCGAAATGTATTTGGCTTGGAACCAGAAGAGAAAGCACCATTGGTAAGGATTTTTTTTAATGTTAAGAGCCAGCCTTCTTCTTCTGGAAGAGGGTTATGATTTTCATTATCCGGCTTTCCGAATATACATAGTTGACTATTGCATTACACAAAATACCAGACTATTAAGCCTATGCCTTGATCTAGCAGAGCTTTTCCATTGCTCATATATGAATTTGGGATAGCTGGTTATAATAATTTATTTGTATGAAGCTCTTGTTTAAATTGAATATATGTAGTGCTCGACTTACGATCACAATTGGGACAAGAATTTCTGTTGCCAAATAAGGCAGTTCTTAAGTGAGTTTGTGCCCAATATTACAACCTTTTTGTTCAAGTTGTTAACGAATCACTGCAGTTAAGTGCATCACATTCTTGTGAAGCCAAGCCAACTCTCTCCCATTGACTTTGCTTGTTGGAAGCCAGCTAGGAAGGTCACAAATGACAATTACATGTTCCCAGGACACTGCAACCGTAGTAAATATATGTCGGATGTCAAGTGTCCAAATTTTGATTACATGACAGATGGGATACTGTGATGGTCATGTGAGGATTGGTCACAAATGACTTGTTTCAGTGCCATCAATTTGACTGGGCGCTAAACCTCGGTTGTAAGCCAAGGACTGCCTATAGACTTTTTTTTTTATTGGTTGATATCTAAATTGCACAGATTGAGTTACTCAGCTGACTGAGTGGGCGTGGCCAGGATGGGCTAAGGCAGCATGGGCCGGTCCTTCGCCATTTCCAGGACAGCCTCTGGGACAATTCTGGGCCTATCGCTGTCTCCGGTTCCAGCGTGCTTGACACGTTTGTTATATACTAATGTTAGGGTTATATCATAGATTTTATTTTTATAAGACTTCAAGAAATATTAGTAACTTGAACATGTATAATTTGATAATTAAACTCTTATTATTCTTTTGTAGTTCTGATTAACATTGGATTATGGGTTAGTTAAAATATAATAATTGGCTTTTACTTTCATTGCCTTACAAAGCAAAAAGAAATGTAGAATTACTCCATTGCAGAATATTATGACAAGGGCTCTGGAAAAAGCCCTGACATTTCTTGGAGAAGTACATTATTTTATTATATGTCAACACTGGTTCAATCAAAAACTTCTAATTTTAGACTTAATACACACATTGGCATACTCACACTTTCATCAGCAAATATATTTTGTAATGTTGACAACTCATTTAATAAGTTGCCATGGTGAGAACAAGTTGCTTAATTAATTTTGTGGGTTTTAAAAGTGCAATGTATTTTAAATAATCTGTGTGAATTGACCTTGAAAGGAGCACTGTTCAAATACAAGCTACCAGCTACTAAATCCAGACTGTCAAGATAGTAACTCAATTTGCTTTTATCTTCGTATGACTTTTAAGTTTGTCACCTAAAGGATGATCAGTGCTGCAAGTTGTAGAAAAGTGTATATCAATGCTTTGATTGTAACCAAGTGTGTCACTGAGGGACTGTAGGAAGTTAACAATTTGAAATGAAAGTCCAGTCATAATTATACCATATATTGAATGACAAGATCTATCCATGTACAGTATATGCTTCGTGATTTTTCTCTTCATGGTTAAACACACTTTCCTGGAGGAGTAGATGGCACCTATGGCTAGGGGAGCACAGGTTCATCTTGTACACTAATTGTACCCTTTCTTCACTGAGAAGACCTTACTCAACATCACTCACACCTTAGTGATGTCTTGACTAAATTATTGTAATGTGCTTTATGTGCTGCCTGCGTTTGAAGACTACCCGAAAGTTACAACTAGATCAGCATGCAGTGATGCATTCAGTTTTAAGCTCTTTGCATTTTACCCATGTTGTGTGAGAACTGCGCTGGCTTCCAGTTGCTTTCTGGATACAATTCCAAGGTGATTGTTACTACCTTTAAAGCCTTACATGCCATGAAACCTGGTTATTTGCAGGACTACATCTTCCTAAATATATATGCCAGCCCCACCAGCTCAGATATGGTGGCTGCGCTTCACCTTCCCTTAACTGTTGCCACCTGATGGAAGTTTGGAGATTCAAAGGGCTTCCACCTCTCACCAACAGATTCAGGCATTGGACTAGAATGTAAGTGAACCAAGAAAATGTAAAGTCAATAAGGGGATTTCTAGGTGAGGTATGATGGACCAAAGATGTGTTCACAAAAATGACTGCGATAACCATGGCGCAGCACCCAAGGAAGATCAGTTTCCTGGACATTTTCCAGATAAGGAGAGGATGGGATATTGCCCACATGTGCTCTGGATAGTTGCTCCTTATGAGGTCACTGCAGGACAACAATTCTCCACAGGTTTGAGTGCCAGGATATGAAGAGATGAGATGAATCACAACTGCGTCAGAGTCTTTTAAAAAAATTTGTGAAATACAGTGCAAGCCTCGCTTTCTTTCAAAAATTGCCTATTGACCATGTTAACACTATAGGAAACCAAGCAGCACACTTGGTACTATAAAGAAATGTAGTGATGACCTCTTGGGGAAGGAAAGAAGATAGCGGACTCTAGTTTAAGTGGTTTTTAAAGGGGACTAGACGGCTCATGGAAAACTGGGCTGTCAGTGATTACATATCGTAATAGCTACTTACTACTTCCAGAATCGCAGGCAGCATACTTTAAATGTCAGTTGCTAGAGACCTATAATGAAATATAGGTGTAACCCTCTTATACTCTTACATACTTGGATCCATGCCTTCAAGTACATGGTTTGACTATTTGCAAAACTTAATAGGTTGGGAAGGTTTTTTTTAAAACAGATACAAATCTTAGTGGGCTTTGGTTGTCATTTTTCTTCCTGTTTTTTCAGTTGGGAAAAGGTTAGTGTATCTTGTTTCTGAGGTAAATCTAGTCGATACAAATGTGGGCGAAATATGTTTGAAATTGCTATAATTGTTCTTTCCATTTCCAAACTGTTTCCCCTCCCCCTCCTTCCAAGCTCATCGTGATCTTTTTGGTAATATTTACTCATTAGCAATTGGCAGGAGAGGATATCTTGGATATTTTGCTGATAGGTTCTATGATTAACACTACATTTTTCTATAATAAGGGAAATGTGATGACTTAAATAGTCCTTCCAAACCTATCACAATACTGAGTTTGTGAAAGTTACATAGCAAAATCTCGGCAGTCTTTTGTATTTCTCTAAAACCTTATTTATCCTTTCTTTTTAAAATATTTTTCTTTAAAAAAAATAACAGAACACTAAAAGATTTTGATTTTGCATTTGAGGGGAGTAAAATAAAGCTTAAGTATCACATAGGAGGAACAGATTTGGGTTCATTGGTTCTTCTGATGGTAGTTTTATAATGCCTATGTGAGATTGTTGATAGATAATTATGCATGCTGTCATTGAAAATGAGATGATAAAAATACAGTGGTCCGGGTGGATACATATGATGCTTATAACTTATTAATTATTATTCAAGGATTGCTAAGGCACTTCTATTCTTCCCCTTATAAAAATTCTACAAGAATATGGAAATTTTACAGCTGGGTGATTTATTATTTGAATAGTTGAAAGTATGATTGTCGTTTTCTCCACCAAACTGAAACACATATTGTTAGTGACTATGTTTTTGCCCCAATTAAAATGGAGTAGCTTATATCTACAGAATCGGAACAGACTATTAGTACAAATTATATCTTGAGAAATTTAAATGTGAATAATAGTGACTTTAGAATCAAGTGCTGGTTAAGAAGGCAGATACAAATTTATGGATTGGTCTGCTGTCCAGTTCCTGGGTCTCTTGGCACTTATTTCAAATTTTTACTGGCCACATATCAAAGGGGACAAAGGCCCAAAATTGATATCCCCTGCTCTATTTCCAAATCCTTGAGACCATGACTAGGAGATGTAATAACATTGATCAGTGTGGGACTTTCACATTTGAACTAATATCCAAGCCTAAACTCATAGTGGCAGTTGTATGCAAGTGATTAAAAATAATTGTGATCTCATTCCTTCTGTATCACAAAATGTGGAATGTGGAAGAGCTAAAGTATTGTGGCCTAATGTCCAGAAGTTTTTTAGTAAGATAATCAAGTGGAGAATTTATATTTCTCATGATTTTTTTCTGGGGAGGTGGGAAAAGTTTAGTCATAGGATTCTTTTTGTATTCTATCACAATAGTGCAAGTGTTCCATCTAAGAATTTGCTATTTTGATTCAGTTGTCAAAAATGGAAGAGAACTGCATTGACACCAGTGTAGTAACTTGTGTTTGCTATTTAGAAATCCAGTTTTTTCTCATTAGAGATAGGAATATTAAATGTTAATTTTTTAATTGAATTAAGATTTGAATTATTTCTTGTACCATTTTGAAAAACGATACAGAAGTATGAGCAATTTTATTTTAGCAATATGTAAAGGCTAGTGTTTATATTGTGGAAAATTAGATGAATAATAACTAATAATTTAATTTTAGAAACCTGTAAAGGCTTCTATTTTTATAGTTCAGTTGGTGCTATATTAGTGAAATGCTTTTAATATTCAGTCTCTTGGTAAGGCCATTACTTCCACAATATGTCTATGTTGTTACTATGTATAACTGGAACTTAAGTCCCCTAATATAGGCTGAGAATTAGTTATCTTTATTGAAGGTATTAATATTATTCAGAATAGTTTGTACAACTAAAAATATAACCCTGGAAGATATTTGGATAGAATCTAAAGTAGAATGTAAGGGAATTAATCTGTAAGCACCTTGAAAAATATGGTAGTTATCAAGAGCAAATCTTGCCAAACTATCCTTAACTCATGTTTTGATTGGATAATTTCCTGAATAGATTGTGAAAATGTCATAGATATAACATTTCACAAAGTACTGTTGATTAGCAAGCTAATTACATGTAGACTATTCGACATAATTATTAAATGGATACATATCTGGCTTGAAAATCATCACCCCAAAATGCTCATTGGTCATTTTTTAAAATCAAATTGGGGAGAGTAGGGTGCAACAGAAATCAATCCTAAGTGTTTATTCGTCA